ATGGTCCTTCCAAGTTCCATCACAATCTTTTTTTTTTTTAATTTATTTATTTACCCATATAAGAACCAGGGTACAGGCCAGATGCATGGGAGGGTGACAGGATTCACCAGAGACAGAGTGGGGAACAGAACAGGCAGACTGACGAAATACACTGCTGAGGGGAGCAGCAGGCGCGGCAGGAGAGGTCTGCAGCGCCATGTGGGACCCTTGCTGGCCAGGATGGAACCGGCACTCCAGAGGCTGCGGACAGCTTCACAGCACTGCACTCAACTGTCTGCGCCACCAGGGGAGGCCCACCATCACAATCTTAAAGTCAAAAGGGATGAGGAAAAACAGACTGAGAGAAAAGCAACTATTTCCCATTAAAGCACAATACCACGGTTGGCATTCTAAAACCAAGCTCTGAATCAGTGCATTCCTTTTTCTCCATTGGGTAGCCAGTAATAGGTCAATCTAATCAACTCTTCATTCAACTTTCTATTAGAAATCACAATCTTCGGAGCCTTCCCAGAAAAGCTAACTCACTATCTCATTCTTCCAAAACACTGAGGCATGTTTACAATTGCAAATGAGAAGAGACAAGGTATGAGCCAAAGAACACCTAAATACAATATCATAAAAGATTCAGAATGGAACTGAAATAGAAATAGAATATTCTCAATGTTGGTGAGCACTTGTTCACTTCCCATTTGTAGTACAAAAATTGATGATACAATTTAAATAACATACGTTTGTGTTCTCTTTTGCAAAAACTTCAATTGTTCTCCATCTTTGCAAACTTGGCAAGACTTTAATAGTCTCATTTAAAAATAACTTATGGTTGATAGGGTTTGCTAGTGTTTTAAGGCTCTAATTATATTTCTTTCCTCAGATCTCCTCTAAACTACACATAAACCCATCAAATTAAAGTGAAAATGTATTTATATTGATTTTTAAAATTTTCATATTTAATTCCTTTCATTTAGTCTACTATCCATACTATCATTGTAAGAACTGTTAAAATATTTTCTAACTAAAGCTTGGTAGACTTTGAATACTCGAAAAAAACATTCTCTGAAGCTAATGAAGACAGAAACTCTGTCTGTAACAATATTAAGTTTGTTTTCTCTAGTGATTCAGACAAGTGAGCAATCTGTCAGTAATACATTGAGTGAAATTACTTGTCTTGTAGGAATAACTGCTGACAGTCACTTTATCTCAGGGTTGACCCAAACATCTTCCTGCTGACAAACAAATTACTATGTCTAACTTTGAAAAGGTAACTAGCTTGTTTTAATTTTGATTGGTCTTTCAGAATCCTTACACACACACTCAGTCCCATCTTTCATTGTATTAAAAAAAAAAAGCAACAAAAGTGTTTTGGGGGGACAGCTTTGAATTAATGAATAAGAAAAAAAAAGGCAAAGAAGGAAAACCCGATCATTTGGCACTAAGGAAAAGAACAGTTACTGCTTCTTTCCAAGACTGTTATGCAGATAAAACTGGTAAGTGTGTCTACCCAACATTAAGACTGGCAGTGCCGCCAGTGACTGACTGGGTGAGTGAACACATTACTGAGACAGTACTGTAGGAATTAATTTTCTTCAATAAAGTGATTTTTAAGGCTCATATATTTCACAATCTAAACATATGTCACTGTTTCATAAACAAAATAAATGGATTAAAATAATACATTACCAATATGCTGACATGTGGAGATATTTTAATTAGAAATTCTTAAGCTGTGTGATATTTAACTGCTGTATTTGCTAAAGAGAAGCATGCATCATTTAATAAGAAGGCATGAGACAGGTGTATCATTTTGCATGATATGATACCAGATTGTGTTTAACATAAACTACAAGAATTAGACAACATTACTCCCAATTATAAACAAAACAAATTTAATTTAAGGATCTATCATAATGAAAGTAACTACATGAAATGAATCAATATGCTAAAACCACTTTTTTCACTTAAAAAAAAGTCATACAGAGCTTAGTTTCTGAGACAGTATTTCTTGGGAAACAATCTAACATCTTGGCTATTTAAAGGCCATATTTACATGACTACCTCATTATACTGCTCCCGGAACCCTTCCTTAACATTCTTTTTGACTTACTTGAAGGACCAATGCTAACATAGCTAAGGAAAGCAAATGGCAACTGGTCTTGAAATTTATAAGGGTGAGAGAATTGGAATAAGTAGCAATATAGTATATTGTTTACTGTAGCAAGTGCCCTCTGTTCTCTAAAGGTCAAAAGCACTGTAACCTTAGAGTTACAGTTTCTGATTGTTCCCAGGGTTAAATACATTATCAAAATTAATGGTTCAAACCCCTCAACCTTCAGACATATGAGTATTCATGCCTCCATCTGCTGAACTGTTCAACTAAAAATAGCATTCTTCGGCCTTCTTTCTCCTAAATTGTGCCCCTGAGGCAAAGAAAACCATGCCTTAGTGTACACAAGCACACTGTACCAAAAAAAAAAAAATCTTTCTTGCATCCTCTTATCTAAAAGGAGGAAAGAATTATTTCAAATATCTTTTCCCCACTTGATAACAAAAATTCAGGCTTCTAGTTTACAACTATGAATGTTAAGATTCACACGCAGGCTCACTATGTTAGAAGTGACAACCTTTGAAGGACAAATGAATTGTAATGTTAGGTAAAGAGGGCCAGTTCTGAACAATGCACTAGGGTGTGTTTGGAAGTGGTGGGAGGTGGAGTGGTGTCAATAAGTAGGTGTCACAGGGTGCCTTTCTTCCTAAGAATCTTTGTTTAGAACTAAAACCAATTAATATAATCATAATGTTTCTTCAGTATCAACAGTTTATCATGATCATGATTGATGTGTTAACAGAACTGCATATTTTAGACCGTCAAAGAGGGTAGAAAATACTAGCTAAAAAAGAAAGCAGACTTTAAAATCAACAAAGCAAGATATTAAATTTTCTCTCTACTTTTGCTTAAGATTTTAAATGTTAGGGCCTGCAGCAGTTTAGATATTGGTTTCTATTGTACTGCTCATGGATGTTCCAATAGAAATGCTTTATTCATAACAGGAAAGTTTGGGAAACCTGCCTTTTCAAAGACGGTTGATCTTTTCTAGCCAGTGTTCCATACAAGCAAACAGAGCAAATGTTTTCTGATATGCAGGATGAAGGTACCAAAAAAAAAAAAATAAATACAAGCAAAAGAACTAAGCAAGAAAAAACAAGAACCCAGGACACTCTCAAATGAGTTCAAAACTTAAATGGCAAAGCTATGAGGAAAACCATATCAACAGGCTCCTTATTTAGTCTAATTAAAGTAACAGATTTATGGCATATATTGTGCTCCTTGGTTAGCATTGCTACAAAACTACTCAGATAAAGCACTCCTGTATACAATGCTATGTTTTCTAGAAATGCAAAAGTAACCAGATTTGACAGCATCAGAGGGGGTGATGATAGAGGGGAGAGAAGTCAACATAAGTAAAAAAATTAGTGAAAGAGAAAATTGGGTAGAAAATTGGCTAAGGGAAGTTACCGGACTAGAATTCACCTCAAGAGAAAATAAAAGTCAAAAAGGAAAGGAAATTTTGAATTTGTGCCAAGGCTACCTGCTTTCATATTTTTTCAAGAATTTAAAGTTCAACAAACTTACTAAATGTCATTACACAGAAAAACTTGTTCCTAAAATCAAGTTATCATTCTGTTTAGCTCTCCTCACTGTGCCAGATTTTCAGAATGTCCAGAAATATAGTACCTTCTCTACAACCAAAAGAAAGTCTTAAAAAAGAAATTCCTTCTAGGTGTATAGAAGACAGCAGATACTTTGACAGTATATGCCTGGTCATGTTTGGGTGGAAACCCCCTGTGAGCTGCATATCAAAGTAAAAGGGAAGAAAAAGGGAGACAACAAATTCTGAAACTCTTCCTTAGGCTACTCCCAAGGTGGCCTTTGATCTTGTCTTCATCTTTCTTCTTGGGAGTGAACTTTATCATTTTGAAAAAAACGCAGATTCAAATGCAGAGAAGAGAATGTCAAAGGGACACTTTACTGATTACTAGTGTTTGATATGTATAAACTGGCAAAGCCAATAGGAGCCAGTTATACAACTTTGCTATATACAATTCTTTTCTTTTTTTTTAAGTTGAATTTCCCAATATTAAATTTTATGCAGAAAGCTAAAGTGTGTTTCAATCAGAGGCAACCTGTTTCCATTCTTTCGTGGTTCAACAGATACCTGGCAATTCTCCAGTATGTGAGAGTCCCAAGGAAGAACTCCAGTGATGTAGGAGCAGAATTAAGCATGAAATTGGAGAGAGGAGGATTGGATCCCTATAGCAGAAAAGGACTTGGTTTTCAGAAGAACCATACAAGCTATCTTCTCCCAAGTGGTCAGAATACCCCACAAAAGACCAAAAAGGAACTTTATTGGAAGTTTAATCTGAATGGAATACTCTAGCAGTTTATGAAACAAAAAGCAAGTTGTCCGGTCCAAGTACCGTTCCCCTCGTTAGCCTGAGAAAACTGAATCAGAAAACCTGAATTAGGTAATAATTGTGATGACACCATGAATATTTTGTAGCCTTGGTTAAGTAACTTGACCTTTCTGAACCTCCACTGTTTTTGTTTACACAAGCAGAATTTTATTTTATCAACTTTATGGGGTTCAGATGACATGTTCAAATGACATTTTTTATAAGTATTTAAGTTTTTTTATACTATATAGCACTATACATTAAAAAGTAAAGGAGCAAGGGAAATAAAGGTGGTTTTGAAGACCCCCTAATGTAAAGAATTTGCCTGAATATATAGCAATAAATAACCTAATTCACAAACATTTGTTTGGGGTTTTCCTTTTCTTTGAAAGAAATGGAGCAAAAATGAGCTTCCCTAGGAATAGGAAAAAGGGAAAGATTGCATAGTGTTTAGGTTGAGTGCTTGTCACTTGTTTTAAAAAAAAAAACCTAGTATATGACTGAACAATCCAGTCCCCCACCCAAAGAAGCACCAATGGAAGCATTCATACCTCAATCTGTTTGTGGTTGTAAGAATGGCCACCACCATGTTCAAAGGTGTCCAAACTCCTGCCAAAACGGTCACTTAGGCCCTTTAGCCTTGGGTTAATTTGTGGGTGGGAGACATGACCCTTCTGTTTAGTAGCATATTCAAAAAAAAAAAAAAAAAGACAAAACATAGTGTCAGAACTCATGAAATAGAACACATTTTCTAAATCCAGGGTACTGACCACAACAAAGAATAGAAAGCAGAGGTTTAGGACCCACACACTCTTTCATAGAAACTTGGTTATAGGATCAAAACATGGTACTGGTTTGTTATTTCTGGCTCTTACTCAAGAAGATAATCTGTAGCATAGCTATGGAACAAGAAGATGTAAGATTAAGTTTATTCTGAGTGAGGTTTCTTTTAGATTTTTATCAACGACAGTAAGTTCCAGTGTTAGTAGTGGGGAAGGTGAAGGTTTGGAAGAGAGGTAGGGTTGCTGCTCCTATTAGCAAAATTTCTAGCTCTACCACACAGTCCACAATGGGTAACATCTTCAAGACTTATTGAATGAGGCTTATGACAAAAATTATCAATATTGAAAGAAATTCTTGATTTTCAGACCCTTTGAATATGCTCAAGATCATGCTTTCATGGTAAAATATCTGTACATTTTTTATGTTCAAGTCATAAGGGAATAGTAGAGAAGACATAAAAATATCTAGTCAGATGTGAGTCCCTATATTACCTAAGAAAATTCAAAAATAATCACAGTAAATGATGATAATAAAAGCTATAAACTTTCTACTAAATTGAAACTCAAGTTATTGTGCAGTTCCACATGTTAAAATACTGAGCCATTTATTTTAAGTCTTTATTTGTTAAAACATATATTCACATGAGGTCAATTTCCCACTAAAATTTAGTGCTAGATGGCTATAAGATCACTTAGTCCTTTTGTAAACCCTTCATTTAACTGTGAAGAAAATAAGGTACAAATGAATTTGTATTCCCCTTCTAAACACTTTCTCTCTGAGTTAAGATTTACAAATAAAGAATAGTAATTGAGAAATTAGTCAGACACCATAACCGGACTTTTAACCCTGGGAAGGATGATCATACATATATTCAATAGCAATGTGGTTTACATTTTACCAAGTATTAAAGTAACTTAAAAATAACAGCTCCCTTTTCTATTAGTTGCAAGAAGGAAAATATCCAACATTATTTTCTGTTTTGATGTTTATATACAAAAGCTAATCTAGAAACAAATATGAATGAATGGAAAATTTATAAAGAAAAACATATCCAACAACCAGCCATAAAAAATTGTAAAGGCATTAACTCATCTGATAGAGAAGATATAGCACTAAGTTATAATGTCACTTTTCCTTGAAAAACATTAAAACAGGCCATTTCTCTACTATTTGCAATATGGTAGGTACATAAGGTGTTAATCCTTCTAAGCTATGCTTAAAAAATTATTTAACATTCAGACCATTATTTAGCATACAGCTGGTTAGCAATTTTCCACTAAAGTACTGGCTCATATCCCACATTTTTTTCTTCTGGCACTTACCTGGAGCTGTAAAGGGCTGAGTCCAGAAGCAGCAGCAGCTGCCATTGTTGATGGAATGAACTGTACGGGGTAGTTATCACCTGTCGGAAAGAACAATGCAAACAGGTTTAGACAATGCAGAGGGAATCGCAGTCGACAAGTACAAACATGGTCCTTGGATTGCCTGAGCTTTACAACATTGCTCTAAGCCCAAACATCTGCAGAAACAAAAGGCTTAGTTGGGCACAGACTTGCAGTGTTGCTTTGGAACTTTTTGTTAACAGATAGCTGGTAGGCAAACTGGCAAAACATGAATGTGATGTTAAAAAAATTAAATGTGCAATTCAAGCATGTTCACTCCATTACAAATCTTGTAATACATCATTTTTTCAGGAGTAAAAAAATATCTTAAAGCCAGGCTGACACTCAGTTCACTGAGAAAGCATTAGGGCTTTTTATCAGAACAACAAAAGTTTTGGCATGGTAGGCAAGACAGAGTATTAAAGTCCAAAAAAGATTATAAGTTACTGATTGTCCATAACTCTACACTTTATTCTGCAAAAAAAGAAAAAGGAAAAACATTTAAATGCCTCCTCTTCAGTGATAGGGATGAGAATAAAACTAAGCTTGTCCACCAACATTCTGCCTGGTAGCCCAAAAAGAGTAGAAACCATATTTTTCTGGACTATCTTCTGGCGGAAACTAGCACAGAATCATGCACACTAGGCACTTATCACTTATTTGTTGATGATGATTTGGTTAACTAATCACACATTTTACGTGAGATATCTGTATTAAAAGTCTGGCAGAGATTGAGCAAGGCTCAACAGATAATCAATATGACACTGCAATGTGTTTCTGACTCCAGATCCATCCTAAACAGAGGAACTGAAATACTTCCTGTGACCTGTGAACACCAGATATGTGCAGTGACCTGAAGAATCAAGGGAAAGTAGAGAAATGTACTGTGATAGTGGTAACTGAAATCAAAATTAATACTTATGTATAAATTACACAATATCAGTGATTTAATGGAGTATCACTTTGGCTTCAGCTTCTTATTGAAAGTCAGTGTTATGTACTATCTCTAGGCTATATTTTAATAGGCTGTTCCTTCACACATTTTTGACATTTATAATAATCATGCTATTTTGCATGAACTTTCCACACTGAAATCTGAATGTATTAATGAAGAGGCAGTGTAGGAAAAAAAAGCACAGTGATAAAGGTAGTCAACTGGAAGGCAATAAACCTTTTTTCTGCATGGACACTAGTACCTGGAGCCTTCCGGTGCCCCTGGTTCCTTGGAACTCATCCTGCTTGCCACATGAAGTGCTACTCAGCTGGCCCAATGTAAATGTTAAGTCGCTTTCACTTTTAACAAATTGTTAGCTTCTAATCTACACAGTCTCTTTGCATCATATCCATAATACCTCATCAGACCATTGAGCACAGTGTGTGCTTGTACACAGTCCAGTAACAATTGGCTTCTGATTGCATATGGAGCGCTGCTACAATGCATTCACTAACACTATATTGTGCTGGTCTCCTATGGAGTAATGTTCAAAATATCTGATCTTGTTTTCCCCTTCCATGAGGTTGATTTTGGTTTGCAGTACTACATGAGCTTTTTTAAAAAGACAACTAGACCAAATTATTTTTTATAGAAAATGACTGTCGCTTTATGCTTAAATAATTCTACTGATCTTCCTGATATTTAACTAAATTATCTCAAGAAAGAATATCCTAATCTAAGTCAAATAATATTTCTTTGGTCGATATCTTATCAGGTTAAAAAAAATCACAAAACGATGCTGAATTAATGATGCTTCAAAATAGGGGGAAAAAAATCACCATTCCAATCATCAACATGGACTGCCTCCCGGAACATTTTAGAGCTGTTCTTTCTTTAAATATCATGCATTATTCATACTAACTCTAAACCACAAACCCCCTCCCTGTAAGTTTAATACCAGTTGCTTTATTTGTACTAAAACATTTTTCATGTCAAACATATTTAAAAAAATCAAACTCTAAAAGAATTCCCTGGGGCACTCCTTTTTTCATAGCTGTCATGCTTCTATGCTATGAAATAGCTGATTTTTTTTATAGTTTTTGGCTTGCCAGTTAATTTATTACTATCTCTACCACACCCTGTAGTACTCTCCAGCTCACCTGCTGGCTACAAACAGCTTTCTTTCCACTGCTGACAAGCATATTTTTTAAAACGTTCTTAACCTTTCTGCTGGCTTGAATCTGTATCTCTGAAGATAATCTTTAGAAAGCTATTTCTCCAGAACACATCATTGTATCAATACTAAAAGTAAAAATGAATACATTAGAGCAACAGAGTATATTACATAAAATGACTAGGAGAGAAATGAAAAGTCAGGGGAGGATAAGGGTAAACAAGAGAGGGGTGTTAAAAACAGAAAAGAAAAATGCAAGGAAGAGAGAGATTACAGGTACTGTGAAGTTTACTTTTTTTTAATAATAAAGTTACAGCACCCTGGCCCCTTAATTTTCTCTGCCTAAGAGTCAATCAAGAAAAATTTCTCAGTGACTGAGTTGGCAAAGATTCAGTCAACATGTTGTAGCAATTTTTTTCAAATTTGTCTCTGGATGTGAAATGCTTGCGTGAGGAACCATTCTTTTTAAATTTAAACAAAGGAAGATGAAGCTTGTCAGAACAGGTTGGTCTTAGACACTACTGTAATCTGGCCCTTGTTACCTCTAGTATAAGAATACAACTTCCAAATGCCAATTTAGGAAATAATGCCCATTCCGTAAATCCATCTTTCCAGCCTTCTAGTTTTCCCAACTGACTACTTTTATCTGAAGATTATACAACAAATACAAAACAGGATTTAAAACCTATGGAAAATTTGCTTGAATTCAATTTCACTTGTCAGAATAGACAACATTCTTTTGGAATTAAAGCAACTCCATAGCAAGAGTGCCTGAATGAGAGAAAGTAGATGTTTAAATTATCTGGGAAACTGAAATGAAGGCGAAACTTGTTAAAACTTAAACATAGTAAAAGGGGGAGCTTGTGCTAAGAACTTAGAATCTATTGACTCAGGCTACTTCCTCTAGGAATACTCCTAGTTTGTATAATTTAGATATAAATTTACTTTTACCAAAGAGTCAAAAATCTATGTGTAAATATCCACCCATTTACTTTGATTTTACAGAACGACAAGGGCTGGGATAGTTATAGTCTTCTCATAATATTAACTTCAGACATTAATCTATTGAGGAAATACTTTAGGTTGGGTAGAGCAGAAAAATGCATTAAACTAGGAGACAGGACTCAGAGATTCTTCAATCACTGTTCAAAGTGGGACTCCAGTCTCATACCTTATTTCCAACCATAAAAACAGAAGAAAAATGTAATACTTGACCCTTATTTTTTCACACATTATTGTGTGCTAGCATCATAGGATGATAGTGAATTATTTAAGGTATCAAACAATCTATAGATACACCCCACTTTTATGAGTTATTGTCATTCTTGCTACACTATGGAAATATTTCAATCCCAATCACTAATAAAGACTTGGGCATGTCACTTTGCAACTTGCTTTGTCATATGTATTCAGAACAGCAAAAGTTTGCAACTCTTCTACATTCTGAAGGAATGCCATAACCAAATCTGAATTTATCTGAGACATTACACTGAAGCAAAAGTTAGAGGGTATAGACAATACATTTACAATCCTCCAAATAAATCATAACTATATATATATATATATATATATATAGTGTATATACAATGTGTTTGTGTGTGTGTGTGTGTATATATGTGTGTGTATATGTATATATACATATATATATATGTATATATATGTATATATATATATATATATATATATATCCAAACAAAGTGTACTGAATTAAATACTAGCTGAAACATAGAATTAAAAAGAAGCATTAGGTATCAATTGCACATCAACAAATTAAACGACCTTAGAATAAATGGACAAATTACTTCCAAAACACAAATTACCTAAACTGCCTCAAGAAGAAACAGAAAATATAAACAGTCCTTTAACGAGGAAAGAAATTTTAGAAAATAATGAGAAGGCATCTACTTACACAGAAAGACCTGCCACTGTTAAAATGCTAATAGTATCCAAAATAATCTACAGATTCAGTGAAAACTCTAGCAAAATTCCAACAATCTTTTTACAAAAATGGAAACGCTGATCTATAAATTTATATGGGAATTTCAAGGGCCCCCAAGAGCCAAAAACAATTTGGAACACTAAAAATGAAGATTAAAGTTAAAAGAGTCATACTTCCTGACTTCAAAATTTATTACAAAATTGTAGTATTGGGCCTCCCTGGTGGCACAGGGGTTAAAGTCAGCACTATCAAGCTATCACCAGCCACTGCAGCATGAGTTTGATCCCAGTCCAGGGAGATAATCCACTTGGCACAGCAGATTTCTCCTGTCACACCCGCTCTTCCCTTCAGCAGTGTATTTCAGTAGATCCACCTATTCTGCTCCCCACTCTGTCTCTGGTGAATCTTCTCACCCTATGCACCTCTGGCCTACACCCCAGCTCTTATATGCACAAATAAATAAAAATAAGTCTTTAAAAAAAACTAAGTTTTTGTATTCATAAATAAAATAAGTCTTTTAAAAAAACCAAAGTTGTAGTATTCAAAACAGAATTGTACTGGCATAAGGATAGATAAGATAGCTACATAGATAGCTACATAGATATAGATATGAAACAGATAAAGTGCCTAGAAGTAAACCCTCACATGTATAACTAATTGACTTTTTTTTTTTTTTTTTTTTTTTTTTTTTTTTTTGCAAGGTCCATATTTATTTATTTATTTTTTTTTTTTCCAAATATTAATTTTATTTTTATATTCCCCCATACAATTGCAAACGCCCCATTCTGACCCCAATCCTTCCCCTCCCGCCCGCCACCCCCCAAAAAGTGTCTCTGGTTCATAGTTTTTGTTGATTTTGATTTTCACTTTCTTATATTCATTTTCCTGGTCCCTTATTTAAGTTTTCTAGATTCCTGCTATGAGTGAGACCATCCGGTATTTTTCTTTTTCTTTTTGGCTTATTTCGCTGAGCATGATCCCTTCCAGTGCCATCCATGTTGCTGCAAATTGCATGTGTTTATCTTTTTTGAATGCTGAGTAATATTCCATGGTATATATGTACCACATCTTCTTGATCCAGTCATCTATTTTTGGGCATTTGGGTTGTTTCCAAAGCTTAGCTATTGTAAACAGTGCTGCTATAAACATAGGAATGCAGGTGCTCTTTGGAATTGATGTTTCTGTGTCCTTTGGGTAAATACCTAGGAGTGGAATTGCTGGATCATATGGAAGCTCTATGTTTAGTAGGTCCAGAAATCTCCACACAGCTCTCCATAGTGGTTGGACCAGTTTGCACTCCCACCAACAGTGCACAAGAGTTCCTTTTTCTCCACATCCTCGCCAACATTTGTTGTTGCTAGTTTTTTTAATATGTGCCATTCTCACTGGTGTGAGACTAATTGACTTTTGACAACTATGTTATGACCATTCACGGGGGAAAAACATCTTGTTAACAAATGGTACTAGAAAAACTGAATATTCACATGTAAAATAATGACATTTTATGCTTACTTTATAGCACATTAAACACTGATTAAAATAAGATATAAACTTAATAACTGAGACCTATAATACTCTGAGAAGAAAACCTAGAGTAAATCTTTCTGACCTGGCAATGATTTCATACGATACCGAATGCCCGGGTAACAACAACAAAACTAGATAAATTGGAATTAATCATAATTAAAAACTTTTGTGTTTCAAAGGATACAATTTAGTGGAAAGGCAACCTAAAGAAGGAAGAAAATATTTGCAAATCATATCTCTGGTAAGAGATTAATGTCTGGAATATATAAAGGACTCCTGAAATTCAAGAATAGAAAACTAAACAAACCAATTTTAAAATGGCCATTTCTCAAACAGACATTTCTCAAAAAATATATAATCCTTCAATAAATACATGTAGAGAGGCTCAAAACCATTAATCATTAGGGCAGTGGAAATTAAAACCACAATGGATCACTACTTTACACTGACTAGAATAGCTATATAACTTTTTAAATGGAAAATAACAAGTGTTGATGAATTTATGGAGAAATTAGAACTCTCCTGCTTGTTTATGTGGATGTAAAATGGTGCAGCCTCTGTGGAAGAGTTTGGCAGGTTTTCCAAAAATTTAAACATAGGATAATCATATGAGCCAACAATTCCACTCATGTGTTTATATGTATTTATATATTTATATCCAAAAGAACTGACAGCAGGGATTCAAACAAATATTTGTGAATCAATATTCACAGAAGCATTTTCACAATGGTTAAAAAGTGGAAAAACTCAAGTGTCCACCAACAGATGACTAGATAAGCAAACAGATACATGTATAAATGGTATAAAAATATTCAGCCATAAAAAGGAATGACCTTTTTTTTGATATATGTTATACGAATGGGCCTTGAAAACATTATGCTTAGTAATATAAATCAGACACAAAAGAACAAATATTGTATGATTCATTTTACATGAAATAACACTAATAGGCAAGTTCATAGAGAAGAATAATATAACAAAGGTTAATAGGGGTCAGGAGTAGGGGGATAGGGAGAGTAATTGTTTAATACCTACAGAGCTTTTGTTGGGAATGATACTTTGGGGTACAAATAATGGTAATGGCTACATAACATTACAAATGTATTAATGCCAACAAAGTTGTACATTAAAAATGGTTAGATTATAAATATTGTATTTAGTATTTATGTATTAGCAGTCATGTATATTTTACCACGATATTTTTAATAGAAACATTAGATAAGGGATAATCAGACATCTCAATCAAATGCTCAGTTTTGGGATCACATTTCTAATCAATAAGGTTGAAATTTAATGTCAAATTTACCATTTCACAGTCAGATTTTACCAATAAACCTAGGGCAGAATTTGCAAAGAATTTTCAGACATTTTAACAAATTTAATCTCCATACCACACTGAGCAGTGGATAAATCATGACATTTTCTTTAGATTACAAAAAATACAAAGCTCAGCAAGGTTAAATGGCATGTCAAGTAAGAATTTAATAAAATAATTCACATAAAATATTTAGCACAGTGTTTGGCACAAAAGTAATTATTAAGCAAGCTTTAGATATTATCATATTACAACTAAGAAATGAATGGAGAAGCCAGCAGCAAGTAGCATCTCCTAGGAAACTTCAAGGGGCTGTACTAGCAGCAATCATGTGAAAAATTCCAACTACGCAAAATACATGGGTCAACTGCATGATCTCTGGCGAACGAAGGAGACTATTCATTGTTTTTATTTTACTGGCAATGCAATCTTGATCTGACATTCTATGCAAGAGGCTCAATTTTTAATTATTTCAAATATAGATGCTCAAATGTATTTATCTTATCCTGCATTGCTGTTTCTCTCAGTATATGATGTGAAAGAGCAAAGCAACCACAATTCTGTGGTTTACATTCTGGGTCCTGATGCGCTCCTTCCTAGAAAGATGTCTCAAAATATAGAACTAGTAAAATAATTAGGGGTTAAAGAGCAATAAAGCTAATTCTAAAGAGACTGATTTGTGTGGTTCCCTGAAACTGTACCATCCTTTGCAGGCAGTATGTCACCTCAACAACGCACCAAAGTGGGAGAACTTGTTTGGTGTTCACTGAATACTGGGCCATTAAATGTCCAGAGCAATGGGTTAAATTATCTGAAGGGGAGAAGGTACATAAACTTAAATATATTTGTTTTGATTATCCTTGTATGGATTCAGGAGCAGTCAACTTTGATAGTAAATATCACTTTTGCCCTCTCAAAACCAAAGTGGTCCTTGCACTCTGGAAACCAAGACAATTACTCAATTCCCAAGTGTTCAGAGGCACAAACACTGTGGGAATTGTAGGATTATTTTAGCTATGGAAAGCTAGAAAAGGACAAAAAGGCAAGCCATTTATTTTGTAATTTATAGTGCTTGCTCATTCTCTTATTTGGTGAACAAAAATAAAAAGCTAGGCCAGTCACCATTTCAAGGTTTTTTATATGGGACAAACCTACTGACTATTAAAAATTTAGTCATTGTCGCACATGTTTTCAAAGTAAAATGATCATACAGCTCATTTGGAGCACAAGATTTTTGTCCTAACTCAAATCCATTAGTATATTTCTCTCCCAATTCAGGGAACAAGAATAAAACTGCATGAATAAGTCTCCTGGATGTGTAATTTCTCTACTAATAGCATAAAAACATGTAACCTTAATCCGTTTAAGTTTAATTGTGATATGCATTGAAGCTTGGACAAAGTATTAAAGAATAAGAGTTGTGGTTAACTAAATTTTCTGACATAAATTATGGGTGAGCTTTTTCAAAACATCCTTGCTTGTGATGAAAAATCATCCTACGTATCCAAATCCATTGCCCTTACTTCACCAACAAGGTTTAACTAACATAACCGAATATAAGGTTGTTACCCCAGGACACTACCCTATACTGCACTTTAGGCATTCAATAGAGATAACTTACTCCTGCATCATACTGTCCCCATATTGTCTCTATATTTTGCTCAGTTACATATTACATTCTCATTGATATTGTTTGAAAAGATTTTTTTAATAGTCACAAATTCATTGAACATATAACAATATCTTCCCCCCCCATGAAAATCAGCACTATTGTTTTAACAAAATTAAGTAACATATTAACCTTGTTGATGTTTATGTTTAATAGAAAATAAGGCTCATACCTGATTTTGAAAAGTGAAGAATTATAATTTAAAAATACGGAAATTAAATAGACAGTTTCCAAATATAATACATTTAAATAGAAGTAATGACTTATAATCAGGATAAACCATTAAGTTTAGTTTACATCAATGCCTCAAAGGGAGATATAGTTCCAAAGAAATATTTCAAAACTTGAGTTTTACCTACAAGAGGGATTCTCTACCAAATGCAATAATAATTGATGGCAACATGCAATAAATATAGATGATAAAACTAAATAGATTTGTTTTTATGCTATTTCATTAGCCTTCTTACTGAAAATTTTAGAATCTTGATTTATATTTTATTATTTCTTTAAGCATATTAAAATGCCTTTGTTCATTTTCTATACCCAATATACAAAGAAACTACTGCAGTCAGATGTGGTGGTTAATATAATCAGGTTAATATATTTAAAAGAACTTGACACAGAAATTATTAATGAGTAGAACAAGGTCACTCCTTCTGAGCTGAGGTCACTTACAAAGAATGCACAAATGAAATTAAGGTTGACTTTTATTTACTTGACTATCTTCTTACATTGAATTCCTTTGGCAACATATCTTTAAACATTTAAAACACTGTTTACAAGGAGACTCTAAAAGAAGCTTCAAACCATTATGCCCCTAATTGAATTCCCCAGGAGTCCAGTAAACTCAGAGGAATAAAGAAAAATCATAACATTTACTAAATCATTTCAAAACATATTTCACTTCAAGGTTATGTGACCTGTTTTTTGAGGTTCAAAGATGAATGAGAAAATATTACTGAACGCTTCATTATTTAGACTAAAATCAAAAAGAATTTTACCTATTAGTGGTAAGCTAATTAAATCAGTCCAGTTTTAACTTTGCTTCCAAGACAAATTAGACAACAAACAATGACAACATTTTAGACTGTCTGTGACCAGCTCTTCCAGAGCATAAAAGCTCTCAGGAAGAAGAAAATACCTTTAACCAAAGACAATTATTCACAGTAAATGTATGAGAAATAGCTGGACAAAAATCTGTAGTCTCAGGGCAGGTAGCATTTCACCTGTGAATTCAGAACAAACTCAAGTGAAAGAAGAAAAAGTGAAAGTTTTTAGCAACCAATTAATTTATCAATATTCCTTCTTCCCAATTAACTTCCCAATTCTAATCTCACATTAAAATAAGCTTTTGTTATTTTTATTCATATGTCCTTCATATGCACCTCTGTTATTGTGACTACTAAGCAAAACATGTGGATTTTAGCATTTCCAAAAGAACGTTAAATCTCTCTCTACTTACCTGGTTTGTATGTTATTCCAGGGGGGAAGAGGAATCCCTGTTGGGCTGCAGCAGCTGCTGCCAGGGTCCGCTGGTCATGTGGAAAAATTGGGATCATGAGCGGAGGCATGTGACCCTGAACCTGCTAAACAGAAGAGAGCCTATGATCAGACAGAGAACAAATGTATGCCAAGAATATTTGTTTTTCACTCCTGGTATTCCAGTACCTAAACAGCCACCCAGTTCTAACCTCATCCCAAAACTGTTCCTTGAGAAAATCCACCCAATTCCTTCTCCGAGATTCCATTAGCACACCAAGGGCATAAACTCATTGTGAATTTGCTTCATCCATGCTTCCACTAAATTGTACTTAATGGTTTTCTTTTATCTTGACTTCTTTCCTTCCTTTTTTTTTTTTTTTTAAACAAAGAACTGGAAGAAACAGGCTGCCTCTGATACTGTACAATGTTCAAAGGCTTTGCCCTTTCACCTGCTTTGCATTCTGTGCTTTATTTTGAAAATGATATTTAGTATCCTTGGTCAGAAAATAATGTCTAATTGTTATGTATTCCAAAAGCAGTATCTTGTATCTTATTTCAAAGCCTCTCTACATTATGTTAAACATATAGCTGTTCAGATTTAAGGCCACTACATCTTGGTTTCCAATTAAACTAATATTCTTTGCCATGCACACCTCGATGTAACATATAAATTGCTTGTCTGGCTAAGCAGTTTTACAGCTTTATGCACTACCATGTAGCTCAGTAATTATGGAGTTGTATTCGGAGAGCATTTCATAATAAATCCTACTATATCAAATTTCATTTGACCTCAATAAATGTATCAAAGAGCACAAAAATGCAAAATAGAAAATCTTCACTCTATATCAGTATTTGTATTCCATATAAAGAAAATAAGAGCTATGACAGAATCATGCCTGTGAAAATCACATTTTAATTTCCTAGTTCCCTTCTTTACTCTATGCATGCTGCCCTGAATCTAGGATAATGTCATAGGAATGTCTTGTCATAGCTTTTGGGGCTTGATATTATAAGTTGAACTATAGGACTTCTGTTATTTAAACATCGAAACTAAGATATACTAACAGAATGATCCTTACATTCAAACTGGGTCTTTGGTCTCTTTACTATATAAAAGGACGACAAAAATCCCAATTTAAGATACAAAGCTCTACCAGTAATTCCACCAACACCAAACCCTTCCCCCACTTAAATTCCTAAATCTTCTCTTTAGGCAAAATTCCATATAGTAGCTGATGACCCTGTTTAAATAGCACCAACTTGCCTTGTCCTGTCCCTGTTGCCTCCACAGCCAGGGACATAGTGCAAAAATGCTTCTGTGTGGGTCTAAGAGGTTTCATTTACCAACAGTTTTTCTCTAGGGAAAGCCCTAAGATGTGGGTTAATAAAGGGCAAGCAAAAAATAAACACTTTACAGTATTTTTCTGAATTCATTTCTCAGGAAAATCAACTTATAATAAAAAGGTCTTTGTGCAATTACTACCTTGCCAGTGGGGCGTGAAAGAAACTAGCTTTGGGCAGCTATTTCTTCCATTTTAGCTGAGGTAAGCCCAAGTTTTGTACATTAGAGTACAAACTTAGCCTGCTTAAATTGGAGCTGATCCCCTAGTGCCCAGGTCTTGCCTTTAACCCTGAAGGAAAGCACTAGGTTTGCTGTTCAACTCCAGCCTGTTGTGACCTGATACAAACCTGAAGTGTCTAAGATGAAGCCACCGTTCTGTCAAAAAATAAAACACAATATTTTTGTGGGTGACTATTGCTCAGTGCAAGAGTCAGTGTTTCATGTACTTCTAGAAATATGGACCTAGCATGAACCTAGAACCTGGCACAATGAGATGTCTAGGTTAATCATATTTATTTATTCTTTCTTTCATTTAACAAACTTCAAGTAATTATTACATGTTAGGGGTCTGGAGTAGTAACTTAAAAAAATAGGGGCCATGAGCTTAAGAGAGAGAAACTATAAGATTCTGTAAGTATTTGAAGGAATGACATATAAAAGAAGAACCAAACGAAGTCTGAGTGGTTACAAATGGCAAAACTAGGTTCAAAAGAAAGAGATTTGGGGGAAGTTAAATGAAAAGAATTATTAGCCCAGCAGCAGTAATCAATAAATTGCAGGACAAAGTATATAAGGAAAGGGGGCAGAAGACACTGTCAAAGCAATAATAAGGATGGAAGCATAGAGTTGAAATGGAGCTTAGAGAAGACCTAATCTAGCAGTTCTCAAAGTGTGTGGCTCCTGGTGAGCAACATCAGCAGCACCTGAGAATTGTAGGAAAGCAGATGACTTGGCTTCCAGACCTATGATTCAGACATGCTGGAGGTTGGCGCCAACGATATAAATTTTAGACTAAATTTTAATCTAAAGCAGTGATTCTCAAACTTCAGTAGACATCAAAATCAACTGAAGAGTTTCTTATAGAAAACCAAAGATTGCTCAATTCCATCCCCTCAGTTTTTGAATCAGTGGATCTAGGGTGGGAAGTTAAAAATATAATAACAAAGTTCCCTGGTGGACTGGTACTGCTATTTCAGGGACCATTCTTTAAAAAACACCAGTCTAATACAAACCTTACCATTTAAACATAGAGAAACAGGTGGCTAGGAAAAGAAAATCTACAAGCCAGCAGTCACACTGCCTATGACAGAGTTGAATCTAGAGTCTAGAACTGCTAATCACATTGCTTAGTGTTTTTTTTCCTTCTATCACATGAATGTCAATGAAGAAAAGAGAGAAATCATATGTGGACACTCTTTTGACAGAGAAAATCTAGAGGACATCAATTGAAAATAATTTTGTATTTTAGAGGTGTATTATTGAAGGTGACTCTGGAGTGTGAATACTATGAACGTATTAGACCCTTCTCTCTTATTTTGTACCCTGAACAATTTGCTGTCAAATCTACTGTCATTAATTCCAATAATTTATTATAATATATTCATCCAGCAATTATCATTTAACTCCAAATGATAAAAATATACTTCTTTTAGGTAAAACAATGCCAAGAAAATTCCAAGTGCCCTTTACTAGAGACAAGCCAAACATACAATCGTCAGTAGAAACCAGGCTGAGAGAAGATAATGTCTATACTTTTTAGTACTACATTATAATTAGCATGAAGTCACCTTTGGTTAATGAGATAAGGAATATAATATTTGTGATAACAATTACTTGACTGAAAGTTTTATAAATTTAAATTTACATGTAGCTGTAATAACTAGTACAGAGAAATCTCATGTACTCTTTACCTAGTTTCCCCCAGTGATAACATCTTGCAAACCTATGACACAGGCAGGGTTTTGACATTGACAAAATCCAATAATCTTACTCATATTTTTCCAGAGTTAAGTTATTTTCAAGGAATTATGTGTCTTTAAAACTAAAGATCTCTAGTCTTTAAAACAAAAGGTAATAATTCTATGAATACTTCCAACCAACATCTTTTATAGAAACTCACTAATATGGCCCAAAGAAAATAATACAAGTGGAAAATATAAATTAAAGGAACAATTCCTCCCTTTCCTTGCTTTCAAATTATTGTACTTGCTAGAAGATTACTGATCTACGGTGAGACAAAGGTGGAAAGTTAGGGTAAGGTAGGGGGAGAAAGATAAGGAAAGACAGTTCGGTAGCACCCAAGAATCACATAAACATCCCAAATATTTTCCTCCTATGGAAGTTGTGAATTGAGTTCATTGCACTATCAGCGCAAGGGCAGATAAAGAATATTCTGGAGATACAGAAAAGCCCCACCCTGCTTGGAAGAATGTAAGTCCTCCTTCCCTCTTCCTCTCATCATCTTATTTCCATCTGGTGACATGCCAGGAAAGGCAGTCACATTGTAAACAGCAACCTCCAGAAATATTTTACTCAAAGAATAAAAAAAATAATAAAATTCCTCTCACTCTATCAAAGAGTGACCAGTCTCCACATGTCTTTTCAAAAAGAAGTTATCAAAATTTCAAATAGCCTATTTTTCTTAAAAGTGTAGCTTTCTTGAACATAGACTTGAAGCAAACAGCAGGGAAGGGGGAGGGGGGGGGGAAGGAGAGGAGGGAGGGAGAGGGGTCACAAGGGGGGAGGGCCGAGCACAGGGATTATGGAGACAGTTCACGGGTGCTGTGATGGTGGGAGAACTGCAGAGGTGCCACCGGAGGGGAGAACAATGATGTCAGAAAATGAATTAATTCTATGTATTTAAAAACATATAGTTTTCCCTTTATACACATTCCGAAATTATTTAATTATCCCATAGGTAAAGGAATAAAAACATTTTTGTTAATACAAAGAGTAAAATGTGATGTGACCAAAAATACATTTCTGGGCATAAAACTGCATTATTTTTAGAGCTTTGGAAGTAGCACTAACCGGCTGTCTTTCGGAACTTGGATGACTCGAGAATCTAGGAAACTCATTGCAGGTGAAGACCAGTCATGAAGCAAATAAACTCTACTCCCCAAAGCACAACTGTCTATTAATTTTAAATTTCCACAATCCCTGACCAAAGCATTTCCCTTTTGGAGAGGGTGGGGAACACATTCTTGATCAAATAGGCTACATGCCCAGAAATTTTAATTGCTTGGGTGTTCCTCACGTCTTTCAGACAATCAAGACAGCAGCAGATGCATGTGAAACACTTAGGTTCTGTCTCTTCCTATTCGTAAACCAGCATTGTTGCATCAACACTTATCCCCTTTGTTTTCTCTGTGCTAAGTTGTTGATGATGCCATTTTTTGCCATCTGCCCCAGAGCTTCATTAAAGATACATGAATGGGCTAACTGGCCTGATATCTTGTGAGGAACAGGTGCTATTGTTTGTCCCTGAAGACTTGCACTAAAGATGTGACTCAGAATACTTGAGAAAGAGCATCTGTAGCAGTCAGTCAGAGAGCGACTTGGCAGAGACCTGGCTGCGTGCTAATATGCAAACAGAGTGACACTCAGGGGGGCTCATTTTCTCCTTCATGAAGATTATTTAACTTTTTCAGTGATGGGAAATAAGTATTTATATTTAAAATCATGACTATATTAGTGTCTATTGTTGAGTTAAAGACAATGAGTGAAAATCTTTTCAATGCTTTATCTTGAAATCCATTC